CATCGATTCAAAATCAACACGCTGAATATATATTAAAATCTCCGATTTACTATACTTCGTTCATGGTTATTCTTCATTTCATTACGTCTGAACAACCATATATCCTATTTAGCGAATTACAAGAAGATGAGAGCATATTGGATACACTTGAACTTTTGAAGTATCTTGGTTTGCATCCATTTCCAACTCCACTTTGTGAGAGAAGAAAATTTACGCATATCAGATCCTACTGTTCATAATAAAGAACTAAGACGTATGGAATATACCCGAGTGAAGAATCTCAACGAAACACGAAACATAGCTGCAGAATTCATTATAGCTCTTAACAAGAAAAAATATAATTTACATGATTTTAACACAATAGAACGGATTTTCTCGTTACTTATGATCGTTTTCTCGAATGCAGATGTCTTTAGTTCACGATTTCGCTATCATACGTTGACAGTAGTGAAAGAAAGTTGGTTACCTTTCTTTTCTGAAAAACAACAACTTCAATTGCCTACAATTCAACAAATCGTTCAAAATAGAACTACTGACTCTTGGATGTATCTTTATGATAAAGACGAACCTGTTCCTAAAAACTTTGAAAATGCTTTCGCTTGAAAAGGTGATTACATGTCAATAATTGAGTATCCTACTATTGAATTTTCATCTTTAAGTAAAATTAACATTGATCAATCACCTACAGAAATGTTTAATTTTATCGAATGTTTCGAGGAATATATTGGAATTTTCAAGGATCCATTGCCTTCAGAAATGTCTTTTTTTATGGAATGTTTCGATGAATCTAATAGAATTTTCAACAATCTATTGCCTTTAGAAGTGCCTGATTCCATCAATAATCTCAATCCATATATCACAACGAAAAACACGGGATATATAACGGATTATTTCTCAAGTTTATATGACTCTCTCACAATCAGACAAGTTCGCCGACCCAATTTTCGGTCATTAAAATTTAAATACGGACAGTTATTGATAATTGAATATCAAGATAATGAAAAACAACGTAAGGATGAAGCTGAATCAGCTCGATCAGGACGGTTCAATACGCTACCAAAACGACCTAAAGTTGACAAATTTAAGAATCGATTTGGTCCGAAAGAAAAAAAATATCGATAAAAATTTTTCTAAAAAAATAACTTTCTATTTTTGGTTAATAAGCATGATGGTTATATATTGATACATATTTAAAAAAAAGATTTTTATGCAAAGAAAATATACAAATGTTTTATTACTATTTTTTGCCACGTGTGATTGAAGATCATTATCTGAGTTTAAAAACGATCAGTATCAAATCTTTCTTCACGATTGAGCATGAAATCGTATTCATAGAGAAAATTTTTTTTCAATACTTTCTGGTTTGTTGAGTGTAATTATTAATCAAAATTATCCTCAAATTAATTCCGCAATTGCATTTGAATATGCCTTAGACAATTCGTTTATATCGATTACATTAACCCAATTATAAAAGCTTTAAGATGCTTCTGAGAAAACAGAATAAATATGCGGATTCATTCATTGTATTCAATGAGAAAATTATTTTATATTTGAATTCATACATACAATAAAACAAAATAATTACGAGATTCATTTTAATCGTAATACATTCCGATCGACATTTTTTATCTGATCAACACAAACGTAGTGAATATGTATTGAGTCGTCCTCTTCATTTTATTTCGTTAATTGCTATTCTTTGTTCAATTCTATCAGAACAACCATACAGTTTATCCACCCAATTACCAGAAGATGGAAACATATAATTATGATACACTTCAACTATTTGATTATCTTGATAAAGGGATTTCTTAGATATCAACACATCAATATTTCAGAAGTTTGGAACATAGCTGCTCGATTTTCCATAGTTATTAAACCTGAACATCGAGTTCAATTGTGACGTACTATACTGAGAGTGTACTTAGATCAAATTTAGCCTTTTCTGGTTCTTTCTTATCAACATATATTTTGCCTTTCATCCTTTCAGAACAATGATAAGCTCGTTGCTTGTGCTTTCGACAAATATACATTTATCATCTTCCATAATTATCTTTTCCATTATCATCATCTTCCAATTGATTTTTCTGTTTCTTCTAGTTCTATCTTCCTCTTCTCTTTCTTTCTTGGTTGCGCATATAAACGTGTGTAATGGATATAGACGATATGAAGACATTAAATAAATCATGATTCCATCACTACTAATACTTTTTCTATCAGAAATCGTCACATCAATTATTAAGGATTCTTTCAAATATTCAGATATTTTACAACTCTTTCTTGACAGTCTTAGTGAGATAGATGAATGGGTGATTATTTGAGTTCCACATTAAATATTCAATAATCCAATGGAACTTACGAGTTTGATATAATCATATGTTGCACTTTGTAAGAATAGATACTTACAAGATAGATGATTCGTACAAAAGGATTTGGGTGTGAATAAAGAGAAGAGAACGCTCACAACCAGAACCAGACTCACCCGCACTCCATGACAGCTTATGGATCTACGATGACGGACAAGATTTTCATGTTATGACAAAGAGAAATGTTCATAAAAAATTCAAAACTTGATCAAGCTTATTTTGATTCAAGTAGTTGTAAACTTAAATATTAAAATTTTAAATCAAGTTATGTATAGCATTGCTAAATATAGAAATACAACTATTATCGTTTTCAAAAACCAATGCGTGTTGTTGTTTTTTTTTTGAAAAACTCTAGAATAGAAAGAGGTGGAAACCAGTGGGATTCACCATTTGAAAGAAGAGATATCACAACGTCTTCTTCCTCAATAGTGTATAAGATGGAATCATTTTAAAATCAACCGTTTTTATAAAACATCGAAAACATTCAGAAAAATTATTTGCCGTTGAGACGAAATTTTAACAAAAAGTGATCAAATTTGCTTAAAAATTAGGAAAAATTCATCTTTTTCCAGTGAGTAAATAGAGAATTTTATTTACTTAACATTATCATGGGTGAAGATAATAATTCGCCTTATGTCTTCAACTATAGATCTAAAGTTCCTCTATCGAAATCACATATGAAAACCAAAATTCATCGCAATGGCAGACAGTTTTCATGCAGATTTTGAAATGTTTTGGAGAAGTAATAAATTTTAAAACGGTTTCATCTTATACAATATTGGACAAAACGATGCTCCAGTTTTATCTCTTTCGAACGGTGAAAATCGCAGCCCACTGACTCTTTCCGTTCTAAAGTTATTCAAAAAATTGTCACACCCATTGCTTTTTGAAAACAACATTAGTAATTGTTTCTAACATACAATAATCTAAGTAGATAGTATAGGAAAAATTCGAAGTTTGACTTCAATATTTGTCTCGGTCTAGAACTGCTCTTATTAATCTTCATTAGAAATCATATTGATTTTTGAATATTTTATATAGATCGTAGTATGTGGACAGATTAATTGTGATAAAAATAAAATGTCCTATAGGAAAGCATAGGGGTCTTGCAAAACGATAGAAAGAGTGTGGATGATTGTCTCATCCCCACTAAAACCCACATTCATCCGCACCCACACATTCACTCAAGATAGCCACCGCCTAAACATACATCCTTCAATCTCATTTTTTTTCTTGAATAAGTAAATATTTATGTAAGATGCTGACAAGGCAAAATTTCAGTAAAAATTTTTTTTCTGCGTTTGTTTTTACACTATTTGATAGAGCTTGAGCTGGTGATCACAAAAAACTACTTTTTTAAAGCCTTTATAAATACTTCCTTCCGGTCGAAAATACGAAATACTCGAAAGGTGTCATTTTTGGAAAAAAAAACATTGTTTCTCAAAATATGCAAAATTTTCTACTTCATTCTTTTATTTTTGTTTCTAAAAATAACTTTTTTCAGATTCAGCATCAAAATTGAGTAGAAATAATTTTTTTCAATATTAACGGTGACGCTTTGGATCGCGTTGAGTGAGATGCGTATAGGTCGATTCTGTAAACCTATCTAGTTTTTATAGGTAAGGGATAAACGCAAATATTTTATCTCTTTGACTCATCATACCACCAGTTACAAAGTTACAGACCACTTTTTTCTTTCCATTTTGGTGTTGAGAATAGTTAATTTTACTAAATTTTGATCAAAATAACTAAATTTCTGCCAGTAATTCTCAATTTTCTTCATCTAAAATTAGATTTTCTGTAATAAAAATTCCATATTAGAAATTAGCATAAAAAGATGAGTAGATTCATGTATGTTTGAATGTTTTCCAATAATTTCAGTTTATTTCGAGTTTTTACCGGTTTTAATGACCGAAAATTTTGCTATAAAAACAAAGGCGACGAAAAGTAAGAAAACATATATGAATCTACTCAGTTTTTTTGCGCTGATTCTGAATATGGTATTATTATTACACAAAATCTAATTTTAAATGAAGAAAATTGAGAGTTACTGACAGAAATTTAGTTATTTAGGTCAAAATTTAGTAAAAAACGACTTTTCTCAACATGAGGATTGAAAGAATAAAAAAATGATCTGTAACTATGTAACTGGTGGTATGATGAGTCGAATGAGATAAAATATTTGCGTTTATCGCTTACACAGAAAAACTAGATAGGTTAAGAAAATTGACCTATACACATATAGTATATTCGATGCGATTCGAAGCGCTACCACTAGAGTTTTGGGCCTTGAGTCGATTTAATAACTCTTTTCTACTAAATGATAGATGCTGAATCTGAAAAAGTTATTTTTAGATACAAAAAAAAAGAATGAAATAGAAAATTTTGTACATTTTGAGAAACGATGTGTTTTTTCCAAAAATGACACCTTTCGAATATTTCGTATTTTCGACCGAAAGGAAGTATTTATTAAGGCTTTAAAAAAGTAGTTTTTTGTGATCACCAGCTCAAGCGCTATCAAAAAATGTAAAAAAGAACGCAGAAAAAATATTTTACTGAATGTTTGAATTGCCTGCATCTTACATTATGTTCTAATCAATGAAATACACATGATTGTTTTTCGACAGTTGATTGTCATTGGTCATTTGAGATATTATCTTCTTCATCAATATTCTCATCTTCATTAATAGCACGAGTCGATAATATAATGTTCTTCAAATGTGGAAGATCGTCAGCTACAGAAAGATGTTTGGTTTCATAAAATAATTTTGAAAGAACAGCTTGTCCTTGTAAAAGAAAATTTTGTAGTTCAGCCAGTGGCACACGTTTAAAATGATTCATATATTTAAATTCGAAAGCAAGAACATTTTTTATTGCTTCGGCTTCTGAATCTGGTAAGTTTTGAAAATCTTGTCGACCGCTCGTAAAATGATACATTCCACCACGTAAACGTAGTACCATATAAATTGTAGATTCCATTTGTATTTTATATTCTGAAAGAGTTCGATGGTCTTCCAGCTGTATTCCAGCAAATATTAAACGTTGCTGATCAGGAGGAACACCTTCTGTGTTTTCAATCAATGCTTTCACAGAAGCTATATCTGTGTTAGAATCAGCTTCTATTGTAAATGTCTTTTCAGTAAGAGTTTTCACAAAAATTTGAAATTGACCAATGGATTTTCCAGTATCATTCTATAGAAAAAAAAGTATGATATATAAAATGAAAAAGAAAACAAGTTTTAATGTACTTTTTCTTGAAGAATTTTTGCTATAATGATACAATTATCTTCATATAATTTAGATGACATGACAGTATCATTTGCTTTGAGTATTTTACCTTCATTCCAATTTTGTTTATTTACTTGAGAATCTTGATCTGATATAAAAGATTTTAGTTGAATATTTGACAACTTTAGACGTTTCTCTATTTGCATTTGAATCTTTTCTATAGTATCTGTTAGAAGAACTGATAGGATCAATTGTTGAGACGATATACCTTCACAATTTACTATCAAGATTTTTACTTCACCATATGTAATAAATTGATAACCATCTGGATATTCAAATACAGATGATTTCAGTTCTGAATCAATCAATGCCGAAATATTATTTTGATTCATTGTTCCAATTTTAATCCACTTTTGTAAATATTTTGGTACATAGTTCTTTTTATATTTCGTAAACAATGTACTGATAAACTCATGGTCCATATATTTATTAGTCATTGAATTACCATATGGATCAACAAATGTTATTGAACGTGATTTCAATTCTTTTTGTATCTTCTGTTTCTCTTTCCATTGATCATCAAGATATTGGGAGATTTCAATCATTCGATATTGAATTGATTGAACATGAAAAATTAAATCTTGATAAACAAATGAACTTGGATCTTTTGATGTAATAGCAGTCGAGACTGCTGTTGAATTATTTCTATGAGCTGCCGAATTACCCATCTGCTGATGATTAAATATCTAAAACTAAAGAAATATTGACAAACAAAACGTGAATGCAAATAATAACAATTTTTTAAAAAACAATGATTATCGGGATGTGTTGGAAAGGAGATATGTGCCTTCTGTAGCCTAAGACTCTTATAAACATATCTACTTAACTTTAATATGTAAATATTGACATTTGTGACAAATTTTTTCTATATGCTTTTTAGCAGAGATGGGCAAGTCATTTTTTCAAGTCATTTAGAAAAAGCCTTATAACTTTTCTTATCTAAAGTGTGTAACTCTAATTTCAACGTGGCTAAATTCAGAAATGTTTAGGCTACAAAATGATATATTATGGTTAAAGTTTTTCTTCACCAGAAGTGCCGCAATACGCTCAAAACACCATGACTTGACTTGACCTGATCAAGTCAAGTCATTTCCATCAAGTCACAGTGTTTTAAAAGTACTACGGCGCTTCTGATGAAGAAAAACTTTAACCATAATATATCATATTGTAGCCTGAACATTTCTGAATTTAGCCACGTTGAAATTAGAGTCGCGCTTTTTAGATAAAAAAAATTATAAGGCTTTTTCTAAATGACTTGAAAATATGACTTGCCCATCTCTGCTTTTTAGATTCTTATTAATAATCTAGAAAACGTCTCTGAATGAATTTTAATGAGATTTAATGTAACTTATGCTTATGTAACAACTTCTACTCATATTTAACTTCTTTGAAAAAGAAGTTACTGCACGCGAAAATCAATCTAAATCGGTGAATTTCTATAATAACTTTAAATTATTAACTATCATGAGCAGCCTTATAGAATTATTAAAAATCTAAAGTGCACCAAATCATCTGCTTTTTCATATGTGATAAAAATTTTTATTCAACCTTTCTATTTTTTGAAAAATTTTGAAAGGCTTCCTTCATCTATATTCGAAAAATAAGCTGTTTTTGAAACAAAAACACAAAAAAATTATTTTTCGTTTTTCTCCGAAAATGGGTCAACGATGTAGCACCAGCAAAATTCTATCATACTAAGAGATAAAGTGAAATATTTTTTTTAGTTTCAAAGGTGGTGTCTATGAGTAGCTCCGTCTCATGGTCTTTAGAAAAAACCTCTATAAAAAATTGCACAATATTTTAGGCATGTTGCGCGTCATTAAACGTGTCATTCCTTGTTTTTTCGCTCAGAAAGTAACAATCATAAAA